CCTTATGAACATAAAAATTGTAATTCTTTTTCTTCCTATTTTCTTTTCGCTTCTTTCTTTTTCTTTTTTTCTCCTCTTCTTTCTTTTTGTTAATTGTGATTCTGTTTTCATTAATTTTTTTCATTACAATTAATAATATAACAATTGTCATTACAATTAGTATTAATTAGTATCAATTAATATAAAAATTGATACATTTGATAAAATTATTTTATTATAAATTAATTAGTGTCAATTCATGGCTTATTTTTATTTTTTCATTATAAATTATTATTTTCTTTTTTACATTATAAATTAATTAGTGGCAATTAATGACTTTTTGTAATCAATTAATACTAAAATTATTAATTAGTCTTAATTAATATAAAAATACTGAAATTAATACTAAACATACTAAAATTATTAATTTTTGTAATCAATTTTAAAAATTGATACTTAAATTATTAATAATAATGGCTTAATTATTATTATTATTATTTTATTAAAAAAATACTAAAATCTAATCGGAGAGAGCTCTCATCAGAGAGAGAGAGAGAGAGATCTGATCGGCGACGTGGGGGACGATGACGAAGGTACAGTGGTGACATGGGGAACGACGACGGCGAAGGTACAGCGGTGACGTGGCAATCACGAAGAGAGACGAAGAGAGATCTACCGCGATCTGCCGCGATCTCTGGTTCATGTTCGCCGGAAAATCATGATCAGCCGCGATCTGCTGATCGCAATCCACTCTCCGAACCTAACGACGAAAAACCATAGGTTTGGTGCCATGGATGTAGCAGAGAGAGAGAGAGAGAGAGAGAGAAGAGAGAGATCTCGGGTTCATGTTTGTCGGAAATCGCTCGAAATGGCCGGAACATGCCAGACAGCTTCGTTGAAGAGACAAAAATGAGAGTTTTTTTATTTATATATATGGTACACTTGTAATTACTTGAAATTGTGAGGGGCATTTAAGTCATTTTGCCCCTCAAATTGTAGCTGCCCGGTTAAGCTATTTCAAAAATCTTCTCCTCTCCTATTCAAAGAAAAAGTTGATTTTTGACTTAAAAAAATTATAAATTATATTATTAAACTGAATCAAACATATTAAAATAACTTAAATTAAATTAAAAATTAAAATAAATTGAAAATAAATTTTACTAAGCAGGACTTATGATGACTTTCAACTACAAATGAATAGATGAATGTGAAATGTTGGTGAACTCTAATGATGCTATGATGACTTTCGACAGCAAACACGTAAGTCTTTGTTGATTGGACGTAAGTTACTATTGCAAATCAAATTCTCAATATGCACCTATAAGCTGTAGCAAATGTGGATCTTGATTTGAAAGATGAGTGATATTTTTAAAGAAATGTTATGTATCATTTGTTTTTTATTACTTTTTGTATCGCCACTTATATGTGGATATTTATAATTTTTTTTTAAAAAACAATTATTAAGTAAAAAATGTTCATATAAAAGAGTGAAGAAATATAAGTGATATATATAAAAACCCTCATTGTAGGCTAAGAGTCCAGATCATTTATCATGGTTTTCTGCAGTAGTTTCTGTGTATCTTCTTCTTTGCTTTACATCATCAATCTGTTAAACCCTAGCAGGGAGAGAGGCGGAGACGGCTGAAAGTCGGAGTGAGGAATTGAAAGAGACACAGAGAAACGAATGCGAACTGAGAGACGAAAGAGATGGCGGAGCAGCGCGATGGCAAAGGAGCAATGCAAAGGATAACAGGCGACGATGAGTCTGGTGGCGATGCAGGAAGGCGAGATTGCAACGGCGATTAGGTCTATTTCATCATCATTATCATTTCTTGCTGTTATATATATATGTGTGTGTGTGTGTGTGTGTATGTATGTATGTATATGATTCTTGGGTTAGATTTGTTATTGATTTTTGAAATGGATTCACTGATTGAAGCAGATCGATGATTTTTGAAGTGGGTTTGATTCTTGGTTTTGATAATTAATCTGTTGTAGTTAAATTTGTTGTTATATATATATGATTCAGATTTTTGGAGATTCATATATAAATTAAACAGGGCCTCTTTGATAGTGAATCACATTTATTTGTATATATTATTTTCTAGGGATTCATATATGATTTTCTTCCATTTTATATATATATATATATATATATATATATGATTCAGATTTGTGCAATTCACCCCTAGTATTTGCAATTCAGTATAAATATGGTTAAACCTTGTTGTTATATATATGAGAGAGATGTGTAAAAAATAGCAAGAACAGATAAATTGATTATTAATGACCTTGTCATTTGTAGAAAAAAATAGCAAGAACAGGGATGGGTAAAACTTGTTATTTGTATGATACTGAATTACAGATAATGGAAGAAAATAATATTGTTGATGAGTTGGCTAATTGTGGTTAGAAGCCGAAAGTGGGAATGTCATTTGACTTTAGACAAGCTGCGCATAACTTTTACAATACCTATGGGGGAAAGGTGGGCTTCAATATTAGAGAGGCCTATGTAAACAAGAACAAAAATACAAAGGATATAACTTCACAGACATTTGTATCTTACAAAGAGGGAAGTCGGGGTATTGACAAACAAGATCCACTTGTCAAAAATCTGAGGCAAGAGGTGAGATGTGGTTGTGGTGCCCGATTTAGTATCAAGTTAGATAGAATTTCATAAAAATATATTGCTTGTGATTTTGTTGAATATCATAATCATGACCTTATGCCTCAAGATTGCATTCATATGTTGCCATTCCAAAAAAAAAATATCTATCACCCAAGCAATTGAAGTAGAATTGGCTTCATAATCTGGATAATAAATACTTTTGAGAATCAAAAGGACCAAGAAGTTGGGGAAATAACAATTTCAGTGGGTATTTTAAAAGTTAAGTACAAATCAATGATAAAGTTTATAAAATATTGATAATTAAAATTATAATTTTTTTTATAAATTTATACTTTCTCTGTTTCAAAATATTAATCCCTTATTTTATTTTTTATTATTTCAAAATATTAGTCACATTTTAAAAATTAATGAATAAAATAATATGAATTTACTATTTTGTCATTTTTTTAAATTCGTTAATAATGACAATTGATATTCCCAAAAAAGTGTACAATCAAAGGATAATTTTGAAAAATTAATATTTTTAAAATGTAATAATTGTATTATCAAAAAAAGTTAAATTTTCAAAAAAAGAACTATTATTTTGAAACTGAGGAAATAATAATTTTGTAAAACCACCGCTGTGTAGTAATTTTGGTCAAGAAGTTTTATAATTTTTTGCTGAAGTTAGTAAGTTTAACTTTTAAAAAGTTACTAATTTTATTGAATTTCTGACTTAATTAGGCAAAAACTTTTAAACTTGTACCTTAGGAGAAAAGTTGATAGGATTTTTTGGATTAATAATCTGTGAGATTTATCTGCAAAATGTTTGGTTGAGGGCATGAGTGGAATGATTAACTATCCCCTTAAACTAGTAATCACTCTTGGACTATGAATTCCATAATTGAGTTGGGATTAGAAATTGAGTAAGGGAATTAGTAAATTTTTAAATAATTTTTAAGCAAAATTTATATTTTTTAGAACCAAAAAAAATAATTATAATATTAAAGATATATTAATTTTATATATTAATACTATCTATAATATTATTAATCAAACAAGATCAATGATTGAAATGAATTTGCAGCATAATCATATCACTATCCCCTTGTGTATTTGTATATTTGATTTCATTAATGAAATTTCTCTTTTATCCATAAAAATAAATAAATAAATAAATAAATTCAGATCATTATCATTGGTGATAGTGAATAATTACTCTTGTTGAATAAAAGAGTGGGAGCCCGTCATAGCTATGGATGGCAACATATCATATTTTTTCGAGTTTTATATATAAATTTTAAACTTAACTATTTTAGTAATATAATTTTATATTTTATTTTAATTTTGATAGTTTTAATCTACCGATCGTTGTACTCTGACTCTATCTTATTAATATTCTTTCAAACTTTTTTATTAGAATTAAATTAGATCAAATACAATCAAACCGAATAATTTTTTCATTTGGGCTTCCAAGGTTGCTAATATAGGCCAAATTTGAGTATAAAATTTTTACACGAACATATTTGACCAAAATATTAGAAAAGAATTCAAAGAAAATAAAATAAATAAAATTAGGGTATTCCATGTATTGACAGGAGAACATGAGAAAAAATGAAAATGTTTTGTAGCTTGAAATATTTTCTCCCGAATGGCTCGAATTTCTGAAACGACGTCGTTTTGATTTTGAATTTTTTTTTTCTTCTTTCCCTTCCACTTCTCGTTTCTCTCTCAAAGTTTGAACCAAACCCAGAGAGAAAGAGAGAAGCAGAGAAGAAAGAAGAGAGGAAGAGAAGAAGACGGTGATGGCCCGAAAAAGTAGTAAAGTCTATTCTCTCTCATCAAACTTCAAAACCATCTCTCGCTACTCACTCTCTCCTCAGAGTCAACTCCATTCGAGCCCTTAATCTCTTCCAAATCCTCTCATCAGCTACGGGTGTGGACTCGCATAACAGATCTTCAGCTACGGGTGTGGACTCGTATACGGCGGTGTCAACTAGCAGAAAAAAAAAGGTACCACAACAAAAGGTAAACCCATAATCGCAAAAAAACTAGGGTTTGTGTTTCTGTGTTTGGATTTTTCTTGCAATTTGTGTTAGGGTTTTGGTTTTGGCTTGAATTTGTAGAACATGTTTTTCGGACTTATCAATTAATGATTGTTAGGGTTATGCTTGTTTGTCAGGGTTTGGACATTATGGGTTTTGCCTTCAATTTTTGATTGTTATGTTGATTTTGATTGGCCATTATGTTGATTGTTTGGGCATTATGAGATATGTGTTGATTGAGTCAGACATGAGTTAATAGGATTAATGAGGTTTTGATGTCTCAATTTGAGATTTGGACATAGCAGTTAAGGTGTCATATAAGAGCTTGGAATTTTAGAAATCTAGAAAGTTCATGATTCATTTTGTTTTTGATTACTCACTTTAGTTTTGAATTTCAGTGTTTTGTATGAAAAGAAAATTTAAGGTATTTTAATCTCCTAAAATTTTTTTGTCATCAGGATTCAGTGTATAGAGTTTAAATTTATATCCTCTTAAATATGCTAGATAAAACTAGATGTTGCAAACTGTTTAAGCAACCAAATTTTATAAGATGTTAATATCTACTACAGAAGATTAATTGTGTAGTTTCTTTTTATTTTTATGCATTTTTTTTATTTATTGACATGTGTTACAATATCTGCATATGTATGTAGAAATGAACATAAGGAAATGGCTAGTGCCAAAGCTAGTCTGGATTTTGAACTCAAATTGTTGGTATACTTCAAGAAATTCATTGAAATCTTTTTATCCACGAATGAAATCTTTTTATCCACGAATGAAAATTTTGTTATTTTTGAGCAGCAAAAAGAAAATTTGTTCATTTTACAATATACTTTGGAAATGATTGGAGTCTTCAAGTGCTTAAAAATGTGGATTCCTTTCTTAAAATTCTTGGCTTTTCTTAATGTGATGGAAGTTTATTAAGAGCCAAGGGGAATTAAATCAGTTCTCTCAAGTTTCAAAGTTTAGTCATAAAAGTGAATGAATGGGCCTGTGAATACATTAAATATGCCTCTGATTTCAAATATCAAATTCTTTTTGTATAAAAGAGCATGGTTTATTCTTTATGGTTGTTTTAAATTTCCATGTTGCTGAAGATGTGCATTTTGATTTAAAAAATCCCCTATTTTTTTTTGAAAATTTCAGCTTTGATCATGACTAGAAAAAAATTGAAGCATTTGTGGGGTCAAAAACAGTCATACAGGTACTTTAAAATTATACCTTCTTTGATCATGTATTTACCATAGGAAAACAATGACCTGTTAGCAGAAGAATGTATGTGGTTTCTTGGAACGTACCTAGGAAAGAACACAAGATTTCTTCTTGTTTACTTTTGCTTATGAAGCTGGTTGTATATTTACCAATTAAAAAAGTATAGGGTTTTAATAACATTAACAAAAGAGTAGGTATGTATGTATCAACAATAGCAATAATAGCTATGTATGTATCATGTATTTGTTTTCCATTTTGTATGCAGATTACAAAATGGCTTGTTCCTCTAGTAACAATGGCAACATAAGATTGAAACTAAGATTGTGTGATTGTGGGAGAACAACTGCCATGCATATCGTCCGAACCAATCAGAATGGAAATAGAGGACGTGTGTACTTTTTGTGTCCATCGAAATATATAAGCAGTATGAAAATTTGTTTGGAAATTTATTTGCCTGATTTGATTAACTGATTGTCATGCATTGTAGATTAGTGAGGAACACTGTAATTACTTCAAGTTCGCAGATGATAATGACGACGACGTGATCTCTAATGTTGTACCTCGTAAATCTATAAGAAGTGAAGAATTTAAAGATCTAAGCACAAGGGTTTATGAGATGGATAATGAATTTCAAGAGCATGGTAGAAGGCTTCGAAGGATGGAGAAGAAATTGAATGTGATGCTTTATGTCATTGTATTTTGTATTGTTTTCTATTTTATAATGTAAATTACTAAGTTGATAGCTTTTGGGGAATTTGTTGGATGTACTTATGGATTGAATGGACTTGATGGATTGTGGGTATGTGTTGTGCTTCATTCAATGTGGGTAATGAAAAACTTGTTCTGTTTTCAATTATTGTTGATAGGTTGTGTCATTTGTTGATCTTTAGTGCTGGAAATACTTTTCCAATATAAACCCGTAATGGCCTTTATGGTCTGATGTTAGGGCTGCATTCTCACATGGGAATTTACAGGAGTTCTACATAAACCATTTAAATGTCCTCATCTTTAAGGCATTTTGTCCTCAAACTCTTTGAGAGGTAGATTTTCTGTAAACTGCTTCATGTGCACGAAAAACTGATCTTTTAATTCTAAATGTAGGCATAATGTTACTAATGTTTTCAGTTCAGTCTCCACTATTAATAATTACAGGTGGACCAAGTTTCTTCATTGTGAGCAATTGTATTATCTATCCTGTGCCTTATTTTTCTAACTACTGCTTCATGTCCTTGTCAGAATGACATGAAGAAACAATATAAAAGGCTTATTCACTTACGAACTGAATCAAATCAATAAAGATCCATATATAATCAATGTCCACAATATACATACAGCAACAACTAACCATGAGGTTCTACATGTGCCCATTATTTCCAAGTCATTTTCAATCAAATATATATTATTGTAACTGTCTAGTTGAGATTGAACTAAAGAAAACAATAGAAAATGAAAGGATGAAAATGACAATTAATCGGAGTATCGACAAACCAAGCCAATATATCTTATCATATCATCCATGTAATTTGAACAATCAAGCAATGCATCAAAATTCCACCTGACATGGTTCATATCAAAATTAAGCACTTCCTCTGGTTTAGCAATGCATCAAAATTAAACAATCAAACAATCAAGCACTTTCTCTTTTCCCCAATCCATATCAAAATTAAATATTAAAAATTAAAAAATAAATCTCTAGTGTCAATAATGTGATTACAAACAAAGATTCTGGCCAATAGCTACAACACATTGCAGAGGCAAAACATGAAGCTACTGCTTAATAGAGCTTCATTCTGGCTTAGCACATTGCAAAGACAAAGATTTTGGCCAATAGCTTCATTATGCTACTTAATAAACCTGTCAAAGTCCATGAAGATAGAACCTGAACTGCTTCTTCATAATATACAGAATCTGCTTCATAAAATAGAAACAGAACCTTAATAAACCTGTCATTTTGCTGCTTCATTCTAGACTGCTCTGGTCATAATAAGAAGAGGTGCTCTGCTGGAAACAGAACTTGACAAATTCATCATTTACAGAACCTACTCAAAATATAACATGTTCAAAATATACAGAACCTGTTCAAAATATACAGAACTTGACAGAACCTGTTCAAAATCTGTTCAGAATCAAATATAACCTGTTCAGAATAAAAAATACCACAGGTTTACAAACATAAGTTCACAAACCTGTTCAAAACATAAGTTTACAAACCAATGTCATAAATACCATAGAACGAAACTAAAAAAAAAAATGGGGAGATTGGATCCGCATCTATATTGAAGTCCACAAAAGTAACTATCTCAAGTTTACAAATGAAAGTGATAAATACCATAGTATGAAACTAAAAAAAAATAGAGTGTTTGGATCCACATCTATATTCAAGTCTACAAAAGTTGAACCATCTATATTCACCATTCTTGATTCACTCAAAGATGAGCTTTCAATTTTGTCCACCATTTGCAATGCGCTCTCTTGTGTCCCATCCATACAAGGAAAATAGTAGGATTGAGCTTGCGGCACCTTATGATACATAATAACAAAATATCATTAATAAGTTCAAACATTGAAATAAATACCATACAAAAAATAGTAGTGGACCATGAACGCGATCATACGTATTGTCTTCCATGCCGTCCGTACAATCAAAATTCAACTTACGAGGTTCACATTGACCCATCTTACGACCCTATAGTAACATACATTGGTGAAAAAGTTTGACAAAAATAAATTCTAAAATTTACATACAAGCAGAAAATAAAAAATATACCTAGACTTTTGGTACCTTTTTATTCTTTCCCTTCAATCGATTCACTATTTCGTCCACCTTGCTCACCTTTCGTTTCATACATGGACGGCCCCTTCGGCGAGCAACCAAAGGACTAAGCACCTTGCGAGTAGTACTAGAAGGTGGCACATTACTACTAGAAAGTGGAACAGTACTACTAGAAGGTGGCACATTACTCGCATATCCCCCCGCTTCAACAACTATATAATGACAATTCCTAGACACCCCTATTCCTACTTCATCGTTTATTTCTAATCTTCTCTTCACAGGAGTACGAATCCTCTTATTCATTAGAAAATGCCGTGAGTCGCTAGGAATTAAATCATGCGTATGCTCAAGCACAATTGTAGTTAACTTATATCTTTCATCCGGTTGTAAAGTCGCTCTTACCTTTGCTTTACAATCAATTTTTGATGACAAAAATGGTTTCAGGGGGTTTACTTCTGATCTTTTTGTCCTTTTCTGCGCCCGAGTATATTCAATTCCAAAGTATTTTACCTTTCCATCCGCTCCAACATTCTGTGTTCTGTAAGCTATAACAAATCCAAGGTTTTTAGCATATTTTGCATAAAACTCGTGCACTTCTTGCTTTGAGGTAAAACACATCCCCTTCTTAGGTTCTTAAATTTCACCACTCTCATTTAATGAAGGATTATTCTCTGCTTCCTCAACTTCCTCACCCCACTCAATGTAGGATTGTTTGAATCAATGTCCATTGTGTGAAACACTCTACTGTAATTTGTATAAAATCAGCAGAATGAAATGCACAACAAATCATAAATAAGGTTAGAGACATCACAGATTCAGATTCAGTGATGTTAAACATCACTTAGATTCAGATTCAGACATCACAGATTCACGGATTCACATAAATAAGGTTTAAGTGGATGTTAAACACTACTTAGAGACATCACAGATTCAGTGAGTACATCACAAATATAACCACTACAGATTTAGACACATCACAGATTCAGCTATAGAACAACAAGGCAACTGCAACTTTGTATACATCACACATGCCAAACCAAATTCAGCTATAGACAGATTCAAATCACAGTTTGTATACACACAGATTTAGCTATGGACACATCCCAAAACACACATATACATCACACATAGCAGAAGAATTATATAGCTATACATCACACACATAGCAATTTTACTTTGATTATTGCAAAGTGTTGTGCGTAGAAGTCTAGAAAACATGCAACTAACCGACAAAAAAATTAGAAATTCCATTCAAGATAAGTGAGCCAAGCTATATAACAAATATGGTCTGCATTCCTTAATATAGTCTTCTAATCCCCTGTCAAAACATAGAAAATCAACAAGAACTAACATAGACCCCAAACAGATTTTTTAATTGAAATCATCTACCCACATAGATCCAAACATGGATAACCATTCTTCTAATCCCCCACGTTCAAGCTTAACAAAAAAATATAAATTTATACGAAGAAAAAAAAACAAAAAGCGCACCAGCGGATTCAGGTGATTAAGCGACATTCACAAATTGACAGGCCAGCAGATTCAAGTGAGTACAATGCGTAATCCAGATTGACGTCAAAATGGTATTTCGCTGGTCGACGAACAGCACTGACGGTGGGCAGAGTTTTTCACTGGTCGTCGATGGTCACCCAGGTCGGTAGTGTCAGCACCAGTTGATCTCAGCGGTGGTCACTCTCGCCTATTCTTCTTCGACTGGTTCCTCTCTCTCTCCTCTCCTCTCTTCTCTTTTCTTCTATTTCTCGCCCGTGGTGTCAATTGACCAATGTTGCAACTGAGCCAAACATTCAAAAATCACCTTTTTCAAATTCGAGGGATTCGGGGGGCTCATTTTTGAGCTACATAGCGGTTCTGGAGAAAAAAATACCAGGCTAAAATGAACAGATGAATGTGAAATGACTTTCAACTACAAACACACAAGTCTTTGTTGATGGGACGTAAGTTAGTATTGCTAGTCAAACTCTCAATGTGCACATATAAGTTCCAGTAAATGTGGATCTTGATTTGGATGTTGAGTGATCTTTTTAAAAGAAATGTTATCTATCACTTATTTGTTATTATCTTTTATATTGCTGCTTATATGTGGATAGTTATGATTGTTTTTTTTTTTTAATTGATGTTAACATTTCTTTGTGGGAACCAGAGACTGTATGACAACATTTTTTGTTATAGACAGCAATACCAAGTATAATGCTTTGCTTGGCAAGGATTGGATCCACATAAAAAAAATGTGTACCTTCTTCTTTACATCAGAAGATAATGATAGCACTGTGCAATGGGAAACAGAAGAGATCAATGCAGATCCACAGCTCTTTATTGCCTTTGTAGATTTTGCAGAGGCCAAGCTATACATTGAAGGGGTAGTACCACTTAGTGTGCTAAGGAAATCTGATGTAACAGCAGAAGTGACAGCTAATGAGAAAGTATCACACCTGAAACATCTAGTATAGGAAAGTACTAATGAGGAGTTCATCATCAAAGATGCCAATGACGCCTGGTTGTAGGTAAAAGGATCAAGATCAAGAAGCCAGACCATTGGCTTTGATCAAATTTTTAACATTGGACATAGAGTCAATAGTCCAGAAGGTGCAAGAAAAAGAGAAAGAAACCATGATAATTGGTTGTAGTCAGGGGCAACAAAAGGCCAGACCTTTGGCTCTTGATAAATACTGTACATTGGACATTAAAACTAAAGTCCAGGAAATATAGGAAGAAGAGGCCTTATGGATAGATTTTGTCTATGAAGAAGATAATAGGGATGTTTAACCAGAAAAGATAGGAGCAGAACAAGATGAAAGGGCTGCTTCGAAGGTAGAAAAAGTCAAAGGGGAAACATCAATGAGTACTCAAGTGCAAGATCCTTTGAAAGAAGTCAACCTAGGCGAAGGTTTAATACAATAACCCACCTACATTAGTGCTTGGTTGGATCCTGTTAATAGGAACTAGTTGTTGGTTGTCTTGAAACAATATAAAGATTGTTTTGCTTGGTCTTATAATGAGTTTCCTGGGTTGGACAGGTCACCAGTAGAACATAGGCTCCCAATGAAGCCTAATTTCAAGCCACACAAGCAA